TGAAGCATTACAAATATTTATTATCAAATATTTAAATTATTTCATGCACATTTATTTCAACTTAAACATACACCAAATTCCTACAAGTATAAAAATTCACAAAATAACTATCATTTCATTAAAATATAATTAAATTCAAAAACACCACTTAAAATATACATGAGCACATACATTCAATTAATAAAAATTACCTTACAATCCTAATTACTTTAAACTAAATCATTGCTAATAAAATTTCCCAATAATACCAAATCCTTTCCACCTTACATTCCAACAATGCATAAAAATAATTAAAAATACTAACTTACCTAATCTCCTTCAGAATCTTCATTACGTGGCGGATACACTTTTCTTCATTCTCTTTCAGAATCTTTAAAATCATACTTATCTTTCAAAGCAAGATACCACATAAAATAAATAACATAATAAAACATGTTTATTTCTCTCTCACACAACCTTAAAAAACATTTCTTACTATCCTTTTCAATACCACTAAATACCCATTTCGAATTCACTTTACTTAGGGCCATGGGATCCAAAAATTCACAAACACTATTTCACACAACACAGAATAAAGCTAAATACAAAATTCCCAGATTTTTCCCCATTAAAGAACAGTAATTCGTCCATTAAAATCACATGACATATCCCATTATCTCTTCCGATTAAAGAACCGTAATTCGTCCATTAATATCACATGACATATCCCATGATCTCTCATTTCCCCCACACAAAATAATGCGTAATCGGAACTCAGTACTGCTCACATTATTACCAAAGTCCCAGGTAGTAACCTTTATCGCCTCCAAAATGTCGCCAAACTACCAGTTACCGTAATGTAAAGATCAACCATTAATTCCTGTTTGTTATGGCCAGACTCCCATATATTTAAATATTAAGTAGATAATAAAAAAAAATTTCATTCTCATTAGAAATTATCTGGAAATACACACAATATGTTAGAAAAAGAGCATATTTTATTCTCATTAGAAGTGTAATTTATTTAAGTCTATAATTAAACATTTTAATTAATTTAGAAATTAATTATATGTAAATACACATGGGATAATGTGAGCCATAAGTACGGAAAAGGAGCATATATTGTAATTTTCTTTTATAAAAATAAAATTATCTTGTTCTAATTACAAGTTTAATTAATTTATTTAGAAAATAATTAAACAGTGAATTTAAAACGTCTACTGACAAAGTCATGTGATCATCAGCACGAAGATTCAAAGTATCAACCATATAGAAAAAAAAATATCCCTTTCATTTTCCCTGTCTTACTTTTAACATCTGGGCAACCTAAACACTCTTCCAACTGTTCGGCACATATCGCCCAAGTTGGTGAGCACGATTTCCGGAACTTCGCCAAGTGCTGGTTATCTGAGTATCCCCAAGTTTATATTTCATTATGGTATAAATTTTATTAAGTGTAATTTTTAATTGATGACATCAGAGATGTAATTGTTATCTACCTTTTGAAGATAGCATTATAGTGTTCTTAGATAGGATATTCAGCATTCTGAAAAGTCATTTAACCCTTTGCACTTGAGAGGTGACTCTCGCTCACCACTTGGTTTGATGTGGAAACTTGATGCACAGCAATAACTGTTTACATTTAGTTTCATTGAAGTGGCTCCGTATGCTCTTTCTGTATAATGTTATGAAGTGTAAAATGATACGCTTTTAAACGGAGATAAGATTTTCTTATGTATAACCTTATCTTTTCTTATCTATCACGAAGTCTGCTCTCAGAGAAATGAACCTAGAAAAAGGCATCAAACAACATATTATTGTAATACTTGCCCCAACGAGCCGGGCGTGCATCTTGGGAATTGGTAAATGAAATATCATACACAGAAAAATTACAGATACTAATATTTAAGGAATTATGTTTATAAATGTGTAAAATGTTAAAATATAAACATTTTATACATTAATTTGTGTGTGTAGTGATTTTAAGTTACTGGTAAGAAATGCGTCAAAAAGGCTGCAAAACGTCTCGTGTTGCTGGTGCACCGTGCGAAAAAGCCTCAGTGCAAAGGGATAAAACTCCTGTGACCATTTTCATTGTGAAATAAAATGTGGTGCAACATAGTAAGGTTTTGTCATTGATTTATGTATGTTTTGGAGGAAGTTAGAATAATAGTTATATGAGAATTGTTTAATTATCACAAAAATACTCGTATCGTTGGGGCAACTGATTCAGTTTAGCAATTTAAATTTTTTTAATGTTTAATAACTTAAATTGATGTTAACAGCTCTATTCCAATATACTCATATGTTATCAGATTTTGATTGTAATCAAGAACCAGGTTTCAAAGTAACACTAAACAGTTGCAGAATTCTTAAAATTATTTAAAGAAGGAAAACCTGTTAATGGGTATTGATTGAAAAACTTTTATGCCCAATGCCTGAATATATTTTGGATGGTGTTAATATTTAAATCAGTATAAATTTTGTTATTGGGGATGCACTGTGGGGTGTTGGCTATTTCTTGGATGATTTTATTCTGAAGCATTAGTATCATTTTAAAGGGAGGTTTGGTTTCATGGCTCCAAATTAGGTGCTGGTTGTAACATATTATAAAGGATGAGTTTGTTGGATATTGATAATCTGCTGTTATGGCCAAGAATTGGTCTCAGTATTGATGTGGGGTTTTTGAATTTATTTGCAGTAACTAAAGAGTGTTTCCAGGAAGTAAGTTCTTTACCGAGTATGCAGTGGTGGACTGGCCAAAGAAATCGGCCCTGGCAAGAAAAAAATGTGTTGGCCCCAAGGCCCCATAATGAATGTCATCATACATATGTTACCATTGTCATAATCATCATCATAAAAAATAATTTTATAAAATAAAAAGGCTCTACTCTTATATGCGCCCTAATATCACCAAATGTGACGATATGTGTTCTGTGCTGGTTTTTGGCACGATTGTATGTTGTATGGCAACCCTGTTCACGTTGAAAAATCTTTTGGTGTAGTGGTTTAATTGCTCGTTCGTTCGTGTCGTACATGTTTTGAAATGGCCTATGTTGCAATGAAAGACGTGGTGGCAAGATTTCAGTCGCGTATTTTAGATTGTGTGCAAAGGAAATTTAGTATTAAAAGGTACGATGTTGGAGTTGTTAATGAGTCTGCTGCGTGTCTGAGAAGATAACGGGTGGGAAGATAAAGTGGTGGAAGTTGATGAATCGAAGTTCAGCAAAAGGAAATATAGTGGCCATCCTGTTGAGGGGCAGTGGGTATTTGGAGGTCTGGGAGATTATTTTTGTAGTCGTGCATGATAGAAGTAGAGAAACACTGATGCAGTGTATTAAAGAGTGGATTGAGCCTTGTACAACTATTTTTTCGGATGGATGGAAATCTTACAAGGATTTAGGAAAAGAACGTTTTGAACATTTATTTGTGAACCATAGTATGAATTTTCTGGATAGTGTGTCTGGCTGTCATATAAATAGGATAGTGATTACGTGGTGGCATGTTAAAGGCGGTATGAAGTTGGTATTTTTGCTATTCGAAAAAGCATTCATTCATGGTAACTGCATTTTATTTGATTCTTATTTTGTAGAATGTTATGTTCATTGTATTTTTAGTATGAATTTCTGTCGTTATTGTTGTTTTTTGAATTATTTGAAATTTATTTTAGTTTATTTTGTTGATTAGTGTGTAGTGCCTAGATTGTGCAATTCGTAGATGTTTTTTAAAGTTGAAACAGAATGCTGTATGCATGTTATTCTTTGAAATTTATTGTTATTATGTTAATTTATTAAAGCGAGGTGTGCATAGTTCGTAGATTCGTTCATTGCCTAGATTGTGCAATTTGTAGATGTTTTTTTAAGTTAAAACATATCGCTGTGTACATGGATTTTTGTCAAATATTTTTGGTTAGAAACTTTACGTTTTTGCTATCTAAATCTGTTGTTTTTGTTTTGGATATTTAGCTAAAATTGTGTGTTCAAAATGTGGTTTTCGCACATGCAAAAACCACGTTTTTGGAGACATTTTAGGCTTAAAGTTTGAAATGCAGGCAAAAAATTTAGATAGTAATATGGCAGCATGGAGGCAAAATTTGACGACCTGAGGGTGCATATAAGAGTAGTTCCAATAAAAATATACATTGCAGAAAAGTAACACTTTATTCATTCATATATATATGAATATGATTTATATATGAATATTATATATATGAAAGTATATATAATATTTATATCTACAAACTAAACAGCAAGTGATTCATAATTAGCCATTTAAATATTTTTTAATTCTAGGTGTCCGGGCAAATATTTCTTCAATTTTATCTCCAGTTTTTGCTTAGCCAAAAATCCTTTTGTATATTCATCAATAGCAGTGACTCCAAATTAGCTTGGTTCATAGTACTCTTTAATCTACATTTTTAATTTTGAAAAATCTCTTCCACATTCAACTTGCGTTATCGATAGTGTGAGTACAATCTTGTAAGCAAAAAAGACATAATTTGTGTGTACTGCTACTGTAAAAATTGTTCTGTTGTCAGCAAATAGGGCTAGGGTAATTGTTGGATCAGTAGGTATATTATGTGTGTAAATGTTATATAGTAGGTATGAGCTTAGGGGGCTCCTAAGGTTTTATTATAATGAATATGCCATCTTTTAAAGAAAAGGGGGTTCAAATTAAATCTGTGATAAATATTGGTGCAGAAAACCCCAAAAAAATCTCAATAAAATTAAAAAAATTAGTAGTTATGTATCACTCATTATAGATTTACATATTGATGATGTATCCCATTGTCATTAACACATAACAAATATTTAATAAATATCAGAGATTCTTGTTTATTCATTATTATACTTATCATGAAACAGGTTTGGGAATTTCAAAATTTGTTTATTTAGAAAAAGAACTAAATCTTTTTCTAGTAACTTATTGTGAAGATTAGAGAATTAATTTCAAACTTTATCATAAAGATATTTCTTGAGATTTCATTTAAAAAATTTTAATTGGCTTTACTTATTTTTCAGGGTTTCTTCAAATTGGCAAAAATTAACAAATATTCTCTCAGGACAATTCTGTGCTTCATTGAATTTCATTGATGATACTAATACTGTCATACCTAAGCTTTCTTATAGGCCTGAAGGAGTAATGCCTTCAGATCAACTTTTTAATACAAGCTTTATCAGATACTCTGCTTTGCCTCCGGAAATTGTTTGCACAGAAAATCTTACTCCATTTCGCAAGTTACTGCCGTGTGGTGCTGTGGTAAGATTTTCATATGATTTTCACTGTAAACATTATATTTAACCTTCCAGCACTCATGCTTGGCAATTTTACATGAGTATGTTCGTGTCGTATTTTTTACGACATCCGTTATTTTACCGTTTTTTTGCACAGAAAATGACAGAAATGAGTGAATATTGATAGTAAATTTGTTAAGAAATAAAATATTAATCTTATTATTGCAAAATACAAATGATATCACATTCAAATACAAGTAAATTATTTTTAAGTTCTTATATTAGTAAGTTGGAAATGCAATGATATATTTCATTATAGAAAATTTTAAATTTATTATTTAATAATTATATTTTAAAATCGAAGCTAATTTTAATATTCATCAAAGACAAGTATAGATAATAAAAAAGGAAAACACCTTGGTAGGAAAAAAAGTAAGTTTAGCATTAATTACTTCTGCAAGGAAATTTACTTCTTACTGGTTACAAAAACGCACTTTAAACTAACTTTGATATTTTTATTTATTTCTAAAAAATAGAAATAAAAGAAAATAAGGAATGGAAATCGCTATTGTTCTTCCATCCAAAGGTTTCCTTGTCTTCATTTTCTGCATCCAATAATTCTTGAAGAATCCTAGCAAAATCAGTTGGTTGCACATATTTTTTTGCCATGAAAACCGATATAAAATTTACAGAGCCAAATGTATTCAAATTAAAATAATATATGGCAATTAATAACACAAAATTACAAAATATTTGAGAAAAAAAAAATTTCCGAATTTTAAAACATGACCACGTGCGTGTCGTAACTTTTATGAAAAAGCTTGCCATGTAGCACAAAAGCCCACTTAAAAAAAAAAAAAAAAAAAAAAAAAAAAAAAAAAATCCAATGACGTCCTGTTAGCACATTCCATGATGTGGGGAAGGGTAGAAAGGAGGAATAGAAATGACCTTCAGACGTCTCAGCTTTGATATGTGAAAAATGTGCATTAAAAACTGAATTTGGCGTAAATTTTGCACATAAGCGTGTGCTGGAAGGTTAATGGATCATTTTAAATGAAATTTAAAAAATATCAGACATATTTTAAATTTTGAAATTGGAAAGTAGTCTTTGAATAATTTGAAGATTGTTGGAAGAAGAAAGGATATTATTGTAGGTGCACTTGGTTCACTCAGAAGCATAATTTATAAGGCTTAACAAATGTATCGAACTGAAAAGAAAAAGAATTTTAATTTCTTAATAGTTAACCATAAGAAATGTGTATTTTAAAGACTCATGCACAAAGAATTTATATTTATTCCTCATTTCTTTTGATTCTGGATTGTAAAAATTAGAAGCCATTTAATTTTTAGTGATACCAACAGGATCTTAAAAAGTGTATTGCTTTTTGACTACAGAAAGTAGTACTTGCAAATTTACCGTTACTGGGAGGCATTAAGTTATGGCAATAATTTGCAAATAGGTATCTGTTTCTGTGTTGCAGCTGGGCTTTCAGTTTTGTCATCATTGTCTTATTCTGTTACTTTCTGGATGTTCCCATCTTCAGAGTGTTGCACATTTATTTTTTTCTTCATGTGTCACTGAGATTTGGGAAATAATGAAATGGAAGCTATCTGATTTCTTGTCTGAATCACTGAATTTTGTCGAACAATTAAACATGCTATTCCCATGCAGTTGAATTAAACATCCGTAAAGAAAACATGTTATGGAAGTACAACATTGAAAAGCACTTAGAACAGTAAGACTGAGATTCAGAAATTCATACAAAGGAAGCCTGTTGATGTTTACACCCACCATACGATTTATTTACTGTTGGTACAAAGACACTTAACATTAATCAAATTTTCCCTGGAAGAACAAGAGTTCTTACATACTGCTGGTACCTAAACCGAATTTAGGGACTTCTTGCTAATGTTGATTTTTCATCATTAAATAATTTACCAAAATTTTATTGCTATTTTTATTTATTAATTTTGTAACAACTTGTATAAGTTCCTCGTTCAGTTTTACAACATTTTTTTGCTCGCCTATGAAGTGGTAACTAGAATTTGAATATGCCTTCTAAAACTTAGTCAGTTTCATGGTAGTATTTTTGGTATATTCTTATAGTTAATCTGCATCTCAACTTTTATATTTCTTGCATCTGCATGCATGATATCTTAGTTAATTTAATAGTTTTTATTTATTTGTTTGTTTATTTTTTAATAAAAGTAATGATTGCTATGTTGTAAAACTTCGCGCTTGTAATATCGAGAATCTCTTTAAAAAAAAAAAAAAAAAATTTAACGTATGGAAGAACTAATAATTCTAAATAAAATTTTTAGAAGATTAACTTTGAAATAAAGATGTTACTGGTTATTGATATCAAATATTGACTCTGTCCTTTCTTTGGGAATTTAGGGTTATCTACATCTTCTAAAAAAGTTCTTAATTCTAAATCTTTATCATCAAATATGCACTTCCTTATCATGCTGCTTGATCAATAATTGCTCCTGGGCTGCTGTTGCTGCTTACCTAAATTCACCAGGTCACTAAATGTAGTAACTAAATGAATCAGTTTAATCACTAATCGCAAATATCACATCTGTCCTCCTCCCTTATATTTATTTATTAATATGTCAATAAAATAAAAATTATTTATTAATGTATACAGTGCATATATAAAAATAATAACTCAGCTTGTCATTAATTTTTTCAATTCATTTTAACCCCTTAACTGCCGCGGGCGTATATATACACCTTGCTCAGCCGATGCGTTAACTGCCCCAGATGTGCAGCCGATGCGTTAACTTTGCGAATAATTTTAGGTGTAGCAGCGCAAATCAAATGATAGCAGTTTGGAAGGACGTATATATACGCCTGGGGCAGTTAACGCATCGGCTGAGCAAGGCGTATATATACGCCCGCGGCAGTTAAGGGGTTAATTTCATTTCAAATTCAAACTGTCCAACAAAAACTGGAGTTGGAGTCGACCTGTGTTTTGTGACTCCAGCTCCAACTCCTTTTACCCCAAAATCTGAACGACTTCGATTCTGACTCAATGACTCCGACTCCACAGCCATGCGTAATAGAACTCATAAATACATGTATTCTGCATTTTAGTCAAAAGTCTTTAACCCGGACATCCATAATCCGGAATGATCTATAATCCGGACCTCAAAGCTACAAACTTTCTTTGCATGCGCATATGCATATATGCATGCACATATGCATATACGCATGCGCATAATACGCTTACGCATGTGCGTTTAATGTATAACGGATGGTATAAGCTAAGCTAAAATTATCCAGTTATTTATTTCAGTTAATGTTGCATATTGCGTTGTTCCTTAATCTTCAAATTGGATCCGGCTTATTACTTTTTGCAGATTATTTGAGCAATTTTATAAAAGTAAGCTTGAACTTTCGATTATGTCAAAAAGAATTTCCGATTCTGCACCTGCCAAAGGATCTACAAAGCGAAAGCATGTTTCGATGTCCATCAAACAAAAAGTGGAATAGCTGCAAAAAATGGATAAAGGCACATCCTTTGTTTCTCTAACCATTCCGAAATCTGTTTATCAATTTCACGCTGCTCTGCGGGGGGGGGGGGGATTCGCGGCACACAATGAACTGGAAGTTGATCTGTCTGCACTATCCGTATCTTCAGGGCAGATGTTTTTATTTTATTCGCCTTATAATTCCCTACTAAATGTAGTATTTCATCTCGATGTACTCCGTCTTTGATATGATTTAAATCAAATTCCTCTTCATTATAAATATCAGAAATATACATCAAATAGTTTTCTGGTTGCAATTTTCTAATTTCGACTACGCATAATGTATGCTTTACGCATGCGCGCATTGAAAGAAATGTTTAATAAAGTAAAAAAATAAATATTAAGCTTTTTTTTTTGTAAATTTTGATACCCTTCAGATCATAATTGCTCTTTATTTTTTAAATTATGGTTTCATATTTTTAATTTTGTAATTTCTGCATGCCATCTTACCAGATTTAAAATTATGATCTATAATCCGGAAAAACCGATAATCTGGAATCGCCGAAGTCCCGACGAATCTGGATTAAAGACTTGACTGTATTTGTTGAATAAATAGAATGCTTAAGCCTCTGGTATATTAGCATTGCTTTGTTGCAAGTGACATTTAACTGTATAAATTACAAATATCTACCTGTTTCAGTGAAATTTCTATCTTCCCCCCCCCCACACATAAATCTCTCTCTAATGAGATGCAATATGAAGTCTTATTCTGAGTATAGAAAGTTTCCTCACAACACTTCTTCAATGGCCAGGCAGTCCAGGATGGGCCCTTGCCTTTCTCAGAATCGAATTCCAAGCTCTTCTATCCCTGGCCCTGGACATCCAATTGGTTATTTTTAAAATTCTTAAGTCTGTTTCCAAACAGTCGAGCCACCTAAGTGTAGGTCCCCCTCTTTTTCGAGTGCTGAATGGTCTAGCCGAGAAGTCACTCAATTTTCATCGATTCTGCACAGGTGTCCTGCCCACGCAGACTATGAGAAGCCAATCATGCTTGGACACCCTGCAGATACAGATTTATCGCATCCAATACACATGCAATACACCCCGCCAAATGAGAAAGCATTAGCTATTTATACAAATGGCTCAAAGACGGAGAAAGGCACAGGCTGCACCTACTGTGTACTCCAAGAATGAGAAGTGGTTAAAACTTGGGAAAGACGACTGGCAGACAAAAATACCATCTTTCAGATGGAGCTTCTTGCATTAAAAGCAGCCATCAATTTGGCAAAATATCAATTAGGAATAAAGGTCAACATATATAGCGACTCTGCCTCAAGTTTGGAGTCCATCCGAGGGCACAAGACAAGAAGTCCTTTGGTGCAAGATATTCAGAAAATTCTTCTAAGTATCTCACCACATGACAGACCTATCCTGATCTGGGTTGCAGCTCATATAGGTATCACTGGCAATGAAGTGGCGGACGTGCTTGCAGCCAATGACTCTAGTAGACTGGAAAACGCAGTAAATGTTCCGTAGTCCTATTTTAAG